ATTGCCTGACAGCAGTTTATTTGATTCAAGATGAGATGTGAGGAATTTGTTGATCAAAGACTCAAAGACCTTGCTAATAACAGAAAGAAGACTGATCGGACGTTAATTGGAGGGGTCAGAATTTTCTCCAGAGTTTTTGAATATTGGAACCACAGATGCCATTTTCCAACAAGCAGGAAAACAAGACTCAGTCAAACACTTGTTAAATAGTTTAGAGAGAATTGAAGAGAGTTCTGGAGAACAATTCTGCAAGACTGTGACAGGAATGTTGTCTGGACCACAAGCTGTAGACGAGTTTAATTGAGATATGACTTTAGCAACAGAAGCCGGAGTGATTTGAATGTCTAACAATGGGTCAACCTGTTTGACTGGAATGGAAGGAAAAGAATGTCCATAAGATTCAAGAGTGGAACTAGAAGAAAAGTTCTTTGCAAATAGTTCTGCCTTATCCTTGGGAGAGGTAATAAGATCAGTCCCATGAATGAAAGATGGAATGTTAGATCTACCCTTGTTAATAATGCTGTTGAAGATTTTCCAAAAGTCTTTAGAGCCTAACTTCTGCGATAAGATGCGAGATTTAGTGAACTGAGAATAATGGAGTTTAGCATCAGAAAGCACCTCTTTACATCGATTTCTTGCAATAATAAATAGCCGTTTGTTCTCAAGAGAGTTGTTCTTTTGAAAAAGATGAAAAAAATGATTACGATTGGATATAGCAGCCGCACAAGAAGGAGAAAACCATGGAGTAGAATGAGGCTTGACTTGAAACCGACGAGAAGGAATAAAAGCTTCCATTCCAGCCTGAATCTAGGAGGTTACGTAGGAGGCGCATTTGTCAGCTGAGAAAGAAAAAACATCAGCCCAAGGACCATCACGAAGAAAATCACGAAAGGAATTCCAGTCAGCTTTAGGGTAGTAGTAGGTGGTGCGATGATAAGGTGAGCCCAAAAAAGAAGTACGAGAAGAAAGATTTATAGAGATCATTGCATGGTCAGAACCACCTAAGGGAGAAAAGGGAGCGTGAGCTCAGTAACTAACTACTTACTCCAACTAAAAAACCTACACTCACCTTAGACTCCTGTATTTTGTTAGATGCAGTGTTTTTCCTAATGCACTTCCAAAATATCATGCCTGGTTTTCTCAAAGTACTGTTGCGGGAAGTAAGTCCTTTTAACTACTCCAGGTCAGGTCAGGATAATTGAGATCAATCTTGCTACTGGTAAACTGGAAACTGAACATAAGCTAGGGTCAGAGACAAGACATAAGTCAAGGAGTGAAGGTAAATGATTAGGGTTGTCAGGAAAACGAGTCACAAAGTTAGCTATCTGAGTAAGAGATTGAGAAACGCAGAAGTTAAAGGCTTTAGTGCCAGCAGGATCAGTGGTGTTAGAGCCAAGCCATTCAGTGTGATGGGCATTAAAATCACCAACAACAACAATATTGGCAGAGGGGTAAAGAGAGAGGGCATGGTCAATTTGATCAGAGATAACATCTAAAAGAGTGCAATCATGGGAAGAAGGAGAATGATAAAGAACAAAGAGAAAGGTGATAGAGTGAAGAGGTACTAGGTGAAAGCACATAAAAGAATGGTCAAAGGATTCGAACCTGATTTCACAACAAATAGGGGAATTAATGCGTATGTATACCCCTAAACCTAGCATGTGACTATTTGAGTCTTTATGAATCAAAGGATAGTAGCCATCAACACTGACATCTGAAGAAGGAATTGCAGAATTTAAACTTGTTTCGCTGAGTGCAAGCAAGTCTGGTGAATTTTGCAGGAGGTAAGACTCAACTGATGGAAAGTTGCTTCGTAGACCGCGAATATTTGTAAAAGATATTAAAATATTTAGGTGGTGGGGATGGTTTTTTAGGTTTTAAATTTTTGGTTACTTTGGTCATGATTTGGGTTTAATGAGAACTTGACTCATTCATAGATAGAGCACAGCCTCCTAATCTATGAGCTATGCAGTTGTCTCAGTCCTGTTAATTAACCCTAAGCCGTGACATAGGGCTCCTTATGTGGCCTTGACAATGCACACCAAAAGCATTAACAGGGACACCATCCATGCGCAACATGGCACTGTTAATACTCTGATATTTTGCAGCTGTTGATGGAATCAGCCTCTCTGAGAGCTACCACAGAGTTCGGGAAACCTTACTACCAGCCAGCCTCAGAACCATTAAACTGAGTTTTAGAGCTGTACCCTCATATGGAGATAACAGGAAGAGTTGCATAGCCATTATCAAGGAGGCATAAGCAAAATTCTATGAGTAGAGTCAAGGAGATCCAGCATTCATCATCCTAGGCAGGAAACAATGTAACACAGGTTACATCTACGCCAGCCTAATAGATGAAGAAGGGGTTCGAGGTTGGTTAGCAGAATTTTTCTGCTTACCCCTAAAGTCTTTGCCTAGGAGGCCTTCTACAAGACAGTAGCGGGATGCAGTTAACATCTGCCCAAGATGAGTATTTTTATCGAGACACCATCTCTAGCCTTTACTCAACCAAGAGCTCCAAGGCAGGGGATGTTTAGCTGGATGCAGTTAACATCTGCCCAAGATGAGTGTTTTTATTGAGACACCATCTCTAGCCTTTACTCAACCAAGAGCCCCAAGGCAGGGGAATTTTTAGTCGGAGTTTATTTCTCCTAGCCTTTGCATAAGAAGAGCACACTCTGCAAGGCAGCAGGGCTTGTTGCAGGTGGTAATGGGTTACGTGATACCAGTAGCAAGATTGATCTCAATTATCCTTACCTGACCTGGAGTAGTTAAAAGGACTTACTTCCCGCAACAGTACTTTGAGAAAACCAGGCATGACATTTTGGAAGTGCATTAGGAAAAACACTGCATCTAACAAAATACAGGAGTCTAAGGTGAGTGTAGGTTTTTTAGTTGGAGTAAGTAGTTAGTTACTGAGCTCACGCTGCATTAGAGAATAAACAGAACACAAACAAACATAAATCAACTTACGGGTGAGTCAACACCACGCCAGAGGTTCAGACAGAACACAAACATACATAAAAAAACATAAAAAACATAATCATAAAGTAACTTACGGGTGAGCGAACACCGCGCCAGAGGTTCAGACAGAACACAGACATACATAAAGAACATAAAGTAACTTACGGGTGAGCGAACACCTCGCCAGAGGTTCAGACAGAACACAAACAAACATATAACGTAGATTACAGGTGGGCAAATACAGTAACTAAGGCACCTCCAACTATATGGAAAAAAAAAAAAAAAAAAAAAAATTACTATAGGCATGACTGATATAAGAGAGTACTGATGACAAGAAGAACACTCCTTCCAGCCTTTGCTTAGATAGCAAATCCTGCAAGGCAGCAGAACATGGAACAGGTTGCACTGGGTTACATGTTACCAGTAGCAGGTTGATCATGAAGACCATACTCCTGACCTGACATACAAGTTGCCATTTGGCACTAAAACTGTTGCCAGTTGCCAGTTGGCACTAAAACTGTAATATTTTTAAAACAGTAGATGATGCAGAAAAAATTTACGTTTTCAAAATTAGCAGAGAAAATAATTGATAAATAATAAAATATTTACAGTGGGTAAAACTTTTTTTTAATTTATAACATCGAGTTATTGATATATATTTAAGCTTAATAATATTGATAAAAAAAGTTAAAAACATTTTATTTTTCCAAAAAAATATATTTTTTTTACTCAATTCTAATGTTCAAATATTTTTTAAAAATTCTAAAATATAAATAACAAAAACAAAAATCTAATGTGGTATAAGAAAAAAAAAAAAAAATATATATATATATATATATATATATATATATATATATATATATATATATATATATATATATATATATATATATATATATATATATATATATATATATATGGGCATTTCCATTTCTGTGCGTGATTTTTTATTTTTCTTTGTTTTAGCAATTAAAAGCTAAGACTATATGCAATATGCATACTATTTTGATTTTCTTAAAGAACAATTATAACTAAAGTATTTTTATCATATTTTAGGCTATCTGAATAAATTAAATATACACATTTTTACAATTTTATTTTTTTGAGTAATAATATTGCTACATTTTGAAAAATATACAATAATTTTCAAAACGCCATACTCTAGCTAGAAATAATTGATGACTGCCATTTCTCATCGAAAATATATTAAATGAGTCGCAGAAGTATAATATTTCACTTGAAATACTCACTAGCAATTTATTTTCATAAAAATAACTACATGAAATTGACAAATTTGCAACATCCATGCGTGACTTCCGTGCGTGATCATTCATAAACTGCATTTAAATGATTGCTGTGACTCTATGATTCATAGTGCAATCCTGTAACTTTCTGGAAATCTTTACTAATGTTTAAAATATTATTTAAAAAAAAAAGTATACCAGTGAAACTAATATTGTCCGAGGAACTAAAGTTTATTTATCTAGTAACTAAAATAGAAGATTTTGTGTTCCGTGTATGATTCCATTTCAAACTTTATTTATTCTTTGTTAACATTACTAATTCTTACTATTTTTTGTTTACAAAATATTTATATTGATTAGAATTAAATGAGAGTAAATTGGAGATCGCTAGTTTTATTTTTATGAAAATAAAAGTAAAAAAATATATATATATATATATATATATATATATATATATATATATATATATATATATATATATATATATATATATATATATATATATATATATATATATATATATATATATATATATATATATATATATATGTATATGTATATGTATATGTATATGTATATGTATATGTATATGTATATATATATATATATATATATATATATATATATATATATATATATATATATATATATATATATATATATATTTACTTTTATTTTCATAAAAATAAAACTATATATATATATATATGTATATAAATATTAATTACATAAATTATCTAGTTTTAACAAAATTTGTCATATCTAAATATTCATTAATAATGATTTTCTTACCCTGGGTAAATGATCTTGAATTTCATAACTCGAATCATATTCAGCAAGTAGATCCAAAACATCTGAATACATATCAATTAATGATCTCTATAATACAAAGACATATATGTCAACTAATGATTACTGTAATATAAAAATATCCTAATACATATAATTTAATGACTGCAGTAACATAAAAAAGTCTGAATAGATCTCAATTAATGATTTATAAAAACGCCTGAACACATATCAATTATTGATCACTGTAATAAAAAAACATAAGATATCAAATGATTGTTAAAGGCATCTGAATACATTTAACTAATGAATCAATTAAGGATCACTATAGTATAAAAAAAAAGAATAAACTATTTCAAATAAACAAATAAATGAATATATATATATATATATATATATATATATATATATATATATATTAGGGTGGTCCATAAAACAACTTTTTTGAGAAAAACCTGCTGACACCCCCTAAATGTGTTTTATCTAATGCAAAAACACTAGGTTTAAAATTTTTTTGAACAAAAATTATTTTTAGGGGTAGCTCAAGGCCCTCAAAAATTTGACGGGTCCCTAATATTTTGAAAAAAAAACTTTTTCTAAAGTATGTCAACCTGGTACTCAAAAGAAGCGATATTGTATAAAAACTTCAAAAATAATAATCATTTTACATAAAAAACATGCCTAAAAAAAATTATTCTCAAAAAACCTGAAAATATTGACTTTTTTTATTTTCAGCTTAAAAACAATAGTTTTTATGCATTTATACCTAAAAAAATTATTTTTATAAAAAATTATTATCATTTTTAAATTTTTTATATAATTTTGCTTATTTTGAGTACCAGGTTGACATACTTTAGAAAAAGTTTTTTTTTCAAAATATTAGGGACCCGTCAAATTTTTGAGGGCCTTGAGCTACCCCTAAAAATAATTTTTGTTCAAAAAAATTTTAAACCTAGTGTTTTTGCATTAGATAAAACACATTTAGGGGGTGTCAGCAGGTTTTTCTCAAAAAAGTTGTTTTATGGACCACCCTAATATATATATATATATATATATATATATATATATATATATATATATATATATATATATATATATATATATATACACTAAAATAAGCAACCTTAAGTTTCCTTGGACTAGTTTGTGTTTTGTTTTTCCCTAAGAGTATTTCTTTGCGAAGTTCACGGTTTTCTTGTTCAACTTTATCAATTTCTCGCTGTAGTTTTTGCTTAAAAAATGGAAATCATATATTTATTTTATACTGTCTCTTTAAAGTCATCAATAAGTCTTAAGACAAGTTCTTTTTTCCCCTTTTATTTCATAATAAAACAAAACATAGTTGTCTCCAGCTTTTTACTTCCATATGTGAATATCTTTTAAAAGCAATATTCTATTCTTACTTGGATTTCAAGCAGTTCCTCTTGCGCTCTGTTTAAAAGTTCTTGAAGCTGAAATAAATTATTATTTAAATTATACTTTTACTAATTTTAAAATCATTCATTTTAAAAACAACGTAGAAAAAAAATAATAATAATAACTATATGACAGTCCAAATTATAATAAACCTTTTGCTCTTGTGATTTTGATTTGATTTCTGGTTCCTCTGGAGCAGGAGTTGAAAAAGAAGCACTTAGAACTGGTGGCTGCACTTCTAATACAAAAGGCATTCAAAGAATGCCGAAAACAGATCAAATTTAGATTTAAAAGAAATACATTTTTTCCTTGATATCTATTATAAACAATATTTGAAAATAGTATTATCCCTTTATGTATGTTTAAATTTATATATATATATATATATATATATATATATATATATATATATATATATATATATATATATATATATATATATATATATCCTTATCTCATGGTAAAAAAAAGTCTCTTTTAACAAAAATTACATGACCTCAACAAATAAGCTACAATTTCATGTCATATAAAAGTCAAAGCAATTAAAATAATGCATAAGTACATTAAGTTTTGTTTTTTCAAAAACCACTAAAATAAGAGAAAGTTTTTAATTAATAGTGTTTTCGTTTTTTAAAAACATGAGCGGAGTGTTGCTACAATGACATGTATGCACGCGTGGGGTGTTGCTACATTGACATGTATATATGTATATATATATATATATATATATATATATATATATATATATATATATATATATATATATATATATATATATATATATATATATATATTTAGATAGATAGATAGATATTCACAATATGCCCAACTTTTAGCTATGATATTAAAGATTCTCTTGTTTTTTCAGATAAATAAGTGTTTTACTGTAGTCTAGTGGCATCTGGCAACTCTTTGCTGCTGGGAAGACATTCTAGCAAATGCATCAGTGGCTTCAGTGCTACTCCAGGCTTTGTGCAGAAAGGTTGTGACAGAGGTTGTGACAAATTATTTAACTCGTATTCACAATGGATATCACTCCCAAGAAACGTGCAAGCATTATAGCTCTTAAAAAACATGCTGGTTTGAGCATTAGACAGATTTCTAAGAAAATGAAGGTGGTTAAGTCAACCGCTGGTGACATCTTGAAAAGAAAAAAAGACACTGGTGAATCTTCAACACTGCAACAAGGAACAACACCTCACGATGATACAGTTATCATCAGAGAAAGTATAATGATTCTAAGAAAACAAGTGCAGACCTTCAGAGCGATTTGTTCACATCAGGCGTAAATATTTCTTCTTCAACTGTCTGACAAAGGCTCCTTGAAGTTGGTAGATTTGCCAGAAAACCTTTAAAGAAACAGTTATTGACATCGGTTATGAAGAGAAAACGTCTTTAATGGGCACGTAAGTATTCTCAATGGACAGCAGACGACTGGAAAGAAGTAGTATTCTCCAACAAATCGCACTTTGAAGTGGCTACAGGTAAAAGTTTTTGAGAGGAAGCAAAGGTGAACCACTTCGGTCAGGACATATTCAACAAGCACCCAAACATCTGCCTAAGAAGATGTTTTGGGGTAGCTTTAGTGCTAAAGGCCTTGGACGACTCATTAATGTAGAGGAAATGATGAATAGTGATAAATACAAGGCTAATTTGGAGACTCATTTGCTTTTTAGTATGACAAGGGACTTTCCTGATGGAGATGGCATTTTTCAGCAGGATCACGCACCATGCCATACTTCACATAAAATGCACACATTCTTTGAAGAAAGTGGACTGGAGATTTTAGACTGGCCTGGGAATTCTCCAGACATCAATCCCATTGAAAACTTATGGGCTATAATCAAACAAAGACTCCTAAAAGAAGACTGCTCGACAATGGCAAAGCTAATTAGTGCTGTAATTAGGACCTGGTATCATGATGAGCAAGTGACTAAAATGTGTTCAACTTTGGTCGAATCCATGCCAAATCGTGTTCAAATGCTTGTAAAAGCAAAAGGAGGTCATATCTCCTTTTAATTATATCATATTTTGTACCATTGGCATATTTTTTTTGAATAAAACTTCAATGTGGCAAATAATTGTGTTATTTCAACCACTGTCCGAACTAATTTGCACAATACTGTATGTATATATATATATATATATATACATATATATATATATATATATATATATATATATATATATATATATATATATATATATATATATATATATATATATATATATATATATATATATATATACATATATATATATATATATACATATATAACTTCAAATTATTTTATTGAGTCTTTGACATATATACAAACCTATCTTCAAACAGCAAATATACTTGAATGCTCTTTGGCGAGCAATCGTTCTACCAAGTTTCATAAATAAACATAACATCTGGACTATTTATTTCTACTTTGAATATTAGCTTTCAGTTTCAATTAAATTTGGATTTATTTAAACATTCTTGTAATCTTTTGAGTCTTATAACTCTATTGGCTTTTTTTAAGGTTGAATTCCTCTATTTTTCTATATCACACAAATTTCGCTTGATTCTGTGTTTCTTGGATTAAGTTTCATAAAACTTTGAACATTAACATTTACTTGCAATTTTTTGAAAACAGTTATTATAGCTTGTCTATTTTCTTCTTTCTTTTTACTACTTTCTTTGTTTTCCGAAAATAACAACATTGTTCTCTCTCCTTTTTGTTCTTTTGTTTTAATAGTAACAGAGTTTATCATTAGCATTTGTTCTGGTAACTTTTTTACCATGTTTGTCCATGTTTCATTGTTATTATATGACCGGTAATTGATTAATTAATTGCTAATTCACTATTCTTTTTTTAAAATTGACATTATCAGTTTCTCATTTCCAATAATTTGCTCCTGTTGTGCCTTTTAGGCATTAAACTCTAGGGCATTTACCACTTTTCTTAGAAAATTTGATGTATATATTCACTAGCTTTACAAACTGTGTTGTTTTTTCTTTAATATAACAGTTTTATGTAAAACTTTTATGATATTTGTTAATACATGTGAATATTGTTTGTTATTTTTTTATATTACAAAAAAATAACCACCATCTTTAATATCAGATCAAAACTTCTCTATTAATTTTTTTTTATAGTTTTTATTTAAAACATATTTACATTTTTACTGTTGTATTTACTAATATCTATTTTTATGTTTATTTTTATTTTAAGTTAGGAAAGTTAAAAAAATCTTAGCATAATAAATATTTTTAAATGATATTTGCAACGAAACATGTTACTTTTGCTTTATTTGCGTAAAACAGAAAAAAGAATATACTTACATAAACTTTTATAAAGACTTTTTTTTATTTTAAATTTACAAATACAAAAGTTAAACTTATTAGCCACCATTGTGCGGTGAATAAATCTCCCCTGCCCCCTAAATATTGTTTTTGCTTATTTAAAATAATTCTAAAATAGCATATTGCATAAAAATAGCATATTGCATAAAAATAGCATATTGTCATAATTTTTAGAAAGGTTATTCATATTGCAAACAAAGCTCTTTTAACTAATTTGATCAAAATTTTATTCAATTAAATAAAAAACTTACTTAAAAGACCTAGATTTGATACTTAACACACTTAAAAGACCTAGATTTGATACTTTCAAAACAAATCAAAACATGAGAACTAAGTTGTATATTAAAAATTATTAGATTTAAGATTGAAGTGATTTGAGATATTGTGATTATTTAATTTTTTATTTTTTCATGGATTTTGGTGGTTATTTTTATATTTTAGGCGTGTATCTATAATTTTTGTTGTAGCCTTTTACTAATTTATAAAAAAATTTTTTTTAATTTACTTACTTTTTATTTTACATTTTATAATATAAAAAAGAAAATAAATATGAAGGAAAACTGTTTTTGCAGCCAGACACATTTAATATAAATAGTAATAAATTTTTTTACTTTTTGCCAACAATATTTTAAATCAGAATACAAATATCATGTTTAATGCAATATTATTAAATTTATTGAAATTTTTTGATTCATTTTTATTTTAGGTCCCCCAAGAAGACCTCACAGTCTTGCCACAAGAAGACCACACAGTCTTACCACAGAGCACAATGAAAGAGTATTTAACTAGGAAGCTCATGCCTCTTTTCCAACAGATATAAATAAAATATGCCCAGATTAATAAAATATGCCCAGAGCTCGTTTCAAACCCTGGATCTTTTGCTTTTAAAACAAGCACAATAACCACTGTGCCATTAACAACTTTTTTTAGTTGCCAGCCGACAATTCCTAAAATTATAAATATTGCAAAAAGTTTGCATAAATTTTTTTCCTGGTAATAACTTAAAAGAGCATAAAAAAACTTAAAAAACCATTTATTCATGTCAAATAAAAATCAAATAAAACACCTGTTTCAATAACATCTCCAACAACTCCAAATATTAATTTACGAGCTGCTTCAAAGATGGAATTCAAATTCTCAGAATCTAAATTGTTAAAACAAAAAACAATTATTAATTTAAAAAAAACATCTTTGTTTTGATCAATATTCTTACCAAAAAAGTTGTATTAATTACATGATGAAAAAACAAATTATGAATAACTTAAAATTAATAAAAACAAATTATGAATAACTTATAATTACCAAAAAAATTATTAATATTTTTTTAATCTATATTAAAATATAGATTAAAAAAATTCAGTCATTTTCTATCTTCACGTCCTTTATTTTTATGCTCCAGGTCTTAAAAAAAATTTCTCTTAATAATAATCAGATTTATCTGCAGCTATTGTGATATGCCAGAATAATAAATTATGCCAGAATAATAATTTAGTAAATATTTGCAAAGATGTGCGATAATGACTATTATTAATAAAGGTTTAGATGTTACATGGTTTTCTGATGGAAATCGAAAATTGATTAAAATGTATGATATTTAATTCTTATAAATAACTGTCCATTGGAAGTATATTCCAGTGTTTTGGACCGAAGTGCTCATTTACCAAAACTATAATATAAAAATAGAAAAACATATATGCTTGATTACCAAAACAATAATTGTATTTAGTTTTTTTAGTTTTAGTGTACTTTTTGATGATGATTTTCTTTGATTTTCAGCTAAGTAAATTTTTAAATTGATGGTAATTCTGTTGGTAACCTATGTTCATCTTAATTTAATAGTGATTTTGTTGATAACCTATGTTCATCTTAAATGTCAGAGATTCTGCACAAACTTGAACAGACTGCATTTTTTTAATAACTTGCAACTGTTACACATAAGAACATTTGAAAAAAAAATCTCTAAAACTGAGTGAGGCAAAAAATAAAAAACATATTTGTTGGCACCTAAATGAGGCAATCAACAAAAGTTGAAATATTTAAAGAAAAGTTTAGTGATTTAGAAAAACCAGTTTGGAAATCTTTCATGAAAATAAAAAAATTTAAAAAATTTTTAAACATTTTAATTTTGTTTCTATTACCTTTATATTTGTCTTTAACATAATTGAAATAAACATAGAATTAAACACATGTTAAACATATACATGAATTTAATGCATACATGTATTTAAAATATATATGTCTTTAGCATATACATGTTTTACTTATGGGCATAACTGTTTTAGTTAAATTTGACACTGCTAGCTGTATCTTGTTTTTTTTTCATTTCAAGACACAAAAAATATCTTTAATATTATATATTGCTGTAGTATTTTTTATTTTTTAAGTTGTCCATATTCTGTAATAAAAAGTGTCAGAAGTCCAGTAAAATATGTTTTAATGGAGGTTTATTCAAAATAGAGCAAACATTTTATAGTGAGCCTATAATTTAAGAAATTTTGCACAGAAAATGCAAAATTTCATCATCTAGATACTTAACACATAATATCTCCATTGAATGGCAAAGACTAGTGTGTTGTTTTTCTCTATATTGAGTACATATACAGACTGTGTTTGCATTTTTCAGCATATATTATCTTTGATGCATAATAGGACTTCGATAGAAGAGAAGTCCCACGTTTAATAGCAGTTGGTTATCTCCGGGTTGTGATCTACTGCAGTTAATATTACCTGAAAATTTAGATTTAGGCATATATGTTTTATGTATTACAATTGTTTCCATTATGTATTTTTGTATTATTTTACAAATTAAGTTTTCACTGTTTTAAAAGGGTAATTCCATGTAGAAATAGGACAAAAACTTTTCAGTCACCCTATCATATTTCTCTCAAATTTCAACCAGTGGTACCTATCAATCCAACATGAAAAAATGTAAAGTTTGAGGTTCCAAATCAAAACGGTTCAAAAGTAATGATGTTTTGAAATTCAGCCTAAAATGCCATTATTTCCACATCTACCATTATGGACTTTATAGTAGTACTTTTTAATGGATAATTTAAGATCTAGTGGAAGAATGTGGCTAAAAATTGGTACCTGACCATTTTTGAGGGTTCTAATTTCAAAAATGTAGAGAAAATAATGAAATTAAAATTTTTTGTTGGTTATTTTTTGATTTTAAAATGGTCAGTCAAACTTTTTGTTCTGTTACTATGGGTTGCGCTTTTATTAACTCTCAGAGTTGCCCTATTCGTATGGATTCAATTTTTTTTACCAATGAAGTGGGCGATCCTAGACTATCTTTATAACTTTTTATAAAGATAGTGTGGTTTTGGTTTCTTGAAGAATAACTTAGATACGTCATTTTGAAGCTTATACCAAAAATTCTTTATTTGGACTCTAATTCTCTATCGTAGATTTTTTAGCAACAATTTAAATGTAAATTGTTTAAGTTTTAGTGGAAGAAACTGACTGAAAATTGGTACCTGACCATTTTTGGAGATGCTGAATCAAAAGTAAAAAAGAAAATAACCTAGTTCAAAATGTTTGATAACTGTATTTTATTTCAAAATTGTCAAAAATTACTTTGCCATAAAAAGGGGTAAAGTTTTCTTTAATTCCTGGAGCTTCCTGAATCTTATGGATTCAGTTGTGATGTGTAAAAACAGTTTTTTGAGGTTAGTTTTGATATATAAATAAAGTTTTGTGAATTGAATTGTCATGTAAAAATAAATTTTTGCGACATCTGCTGTGATGGATAATATAGTTTTGTGATGCCTGTTATGTTGTATAAATATAGTTTTGAAACACCAGTTATATAAACATAAAAATTATTTTAATTTTACAGTAAATAATTATTGAGTCTTATTTCGTAATTCAGTTTCTCAGTAATGACAAACAGCCAACAGTACTCCATCGGAATCAAGCTAGAAAGTGAATTTCATCTCGTAACATCCTCGCTTGAAATTAAAAACTTTTAAAGATATTCTTTAATATAAAAGAGAAATATTAATGTGGAGGACTGGGCTATCAATAATCAATGTCAAATCAACAACTTGTTTCCATCATAAACATGTTTATTTGAAGCGTTATTCAACTAAACTAACACGGTGCTGCAATTCATTTAAAACTCATAACAAAATTATAAAAAGTATTTATAGTAACTACAACTTTTAGATTTGTGAAAGTGTTGCGTTAAAATAATGAAATTCTTGGCCGAATTCTGTTTTAGCTATATTTAACCTTACTTTTAGGTAACTTCTGAAAGTACACTATTAAATGCCATACAACTTTAAATTTTAAATGGTTTTATAAACATTTTTATATATATTAAAAAAGTTCTTCCCTTTTTCCCTTTTTTTAGGTAGTCTTCATGAAATCAACTTTGATACAGTAAAGTACCTATGTAGTAAAAGCAAATTCGTAGTGCCAGGTGAAAGGCTTTGTCCACAATGCAGACATAAATTAGTATCAAGTGAAGAATCATAAGAAAACGAGTTGGAGATAAAATTACCTGGAGATAATTAGCCCTCACTTGGAAAGACAAAGATAAAGCTGAAGAAGCAGTTATTAAGAAACTTGCAACTGCTCTAGATGTCACTGAAACCGATCTATTTGCACCAAACAACAATGTAGTTCTAAAAAAAATTCAAACTAAAGCTGGTGATCTATACTTGAATGCATCAAAGAAAAACTTTAAGTTTTTAACAGAAGGCAAATTTTGATATTGACCCTAAAAATATGGTCTATCAAAAAAGCACCAAAAGAGTTTTCAGTTTCCAAACACAAAATTCAAAATGCAAAGTTTTTATGTGGCCAAAAAGGCATCATAGCATAGTCTGATGAGGTTGAATGGCCTCGCCAAAGCCAAGTAGGTCACTACAGAAAGAGACTACATTAGAAAGAGGCTACATTACTGTCGTTACAACCATCTCTCAACATTATAACTCTGGAACCTCACAAACCTCAATGACCAAGACTGCACCGAGAAACAAGTTAAGAGCAGTACTACGAGAACATTGAACATTGAATTACGAACTTTTTATGAACCTTTTAAACCTAGGGCTCTACCACTACAACACTACCACATTTTAATTAATTTATCTAATTGCAAAGTTAAAATTTTAAAAATAGTTAACAGGTCAGATATCACTGACAGATGTCTCCTGATGAAAGATTTGGTTTGAAAAAAGTTTTGGGATAGGGTCAAACACAATGGACACAGAGAATTTCTATAAAAATTAATTATTTAGAAAGCCAGATAAGTTTAGAGATGGATAAAAAAAATTTACTATTTTCTAAGTGATGATATGTAATTTTAAAGTTAGTGAAATTTCCAGTTTTTTATTTATCTAAAAATATTTAGTTGATTTAAATGATTTTCATTGAAAATAATATTGCCAATAAGCAAATTGGTAAACAGCATATGTAAAAGTTGTTTTTAATTTGATATGTATAAATTAATTTAAAATGTCTTATTTATTTATTTATAATTAGTTTTTCAAACTTAACTTATTAAGGTAATTTTGTCATAAATTTTTGTTGCTTTTTTTAATTAAAAAAAAAAAAAAAATTAAATTTTAAGTTTTGCCAAAAGTACTATCTTGCCTCTACAGTGGCATACATTATAAAAATTTTTACATTTCTTCTTTTAAATCCAAAGATTCTAAAAAGGAACTGGGGCTTAAAACTTTTTTTTATTTTTGTGATTTAACTAATTTTTTTAAAAATATATTCCAAAAGTTGAACAGTGAAACAGATTTACTTTGCTTCAAAAGGCATCTATTTTCCAAAAACAAATGAATTACTTGAAAGGAGAAAAAACTGAATCAGTCATGTTTTGGATGGGAAAAGTGTTCCTGTTCAAAACTAAAAACTTGTAAGAATGACAATTGATTCTGTTTTAAATATAATTAAAGATTCTTTTATTCTAGTAAATGATGATGAGTTTTAAATTCAAAAAAAATTTTTAATGCGTTTTGAAATTTTAAGGATGGCTGGGATAGAGCAGCAAGCCTTCCCAGGAAAGGCATGCGGTTTTTTGTCTTGTATGACCACATGCGAGTATTTTATTTTAGACAACTTGAACACGGCCGTTTGCAAGTTTTATAATAATCAATGCTAAAAAAAAGTTTCAAAAACGAAAAAACAAAACTAACAAAATAAAAAGAGATTAAAGTAGAAAAAAATAAAAACACAATAGTTTAAACTATTTGTGTACTGTTTTCATTTTTGTTTCTTTAGGAAGGTTGTTACATTCAGCAACAAAATTAGATAAGGCAAAGCAAAAAAAAAAAAAACAGTTTGAAGTCTACAAATAATAAGAATGGTTTTCCTTTTTATAATTTTTTTTTTAAGAGGATAGCAAAAATATAAATTGAAATGTGTTTGTAAAATATATTTGTATAATTGTAATGTAACAACAATAATAATGTAATAACAAGGGTTGTACTAATATCAATAATAATGTAATAACAAGGGTTGAATTAAGCGAATGCGAAATGCAAAATCTGGAAAAATATCTAGTATTCAAAATTTTATTTAATACAAAACCGTGATCCTTGTTTTTAAGGAACGAATCAACTGAAATTTGTAAGCGAAAAAATAAAAAATAAAACAATAAACTTACGATTACAAAAGTAATAACACTCTAGTTACTAACTGCATTACAAAAGTAATAACACTACAATAGTGTTATTACTTTTATAATGCACTTATAACTTTTAAAATTCGTTCTTTGTTCAAGCAACATAAGTTATCCCAAATTTTAATTGAAGTAGAAAAATATCTAGAAGATAAAATGGATGTTCAAATAATATTAAAAACTTAAATAACTTATAAAAACGTGACAAACAACATTATAAAAGCGTAACGTATTAAAAGTTTGGTATTATGAAAAACTTTACTAATGGACTGTAAAAACACGCGTTAATTTTAAAATTAACAAATAAAAAATTTTTATTGGTTAATGTTAAAATTAACGCGCGTTTTTACGTAACATTTTTCATAATGCTATACATTTTATAAAGTACTTTTTTATAATATACTTTATAATATAGTTGTTTAAGTAATCTGTAAAAGTTCCTGAAATTTTTGTTAATATTTGAATATCCGCTTTTTTTTTCTAGATGCTTTTCTACTTTAATAAATGTTTCAAATTAATAATGTTGTTTGAACAAAGAATGAACTTTAAAAGTAATAAGTGCTTTATAAATGTAATAACACTATTATAGTTTTATTACTTTTATAATGCAGTTAGTGACTAAAAATTATTGTTTTTGTTTTGTTTTTTTTAACTTTCTCGCTAGCAAACTTTTAATAATTTGCTCCTTGTAAACAAAGTATACAGCTTGGCATGAACTAAAATTTCAAAGACCAAATATTTTACAAGAGTTTGCAAATCGCGATCATATAATTTAACCCTTGATATATACTTGTTACATTATAATTATACAAATATACTTAACAAACAAATACGCATTTTCTCTTTCCTCTTTAAAAGAAAAAACATAAAATATAAGAAAGTCATCCTTTTTGATGCTTAAAACTGTTTTTTTTTTTTTGTTTTTTTTTTTGCTTTGACTTACTGAATTTTGTTGCTGATAATAATAAACACCGAGAAAAAACAAAAATAAAAACAACACACAAATTATTTAAACTATTATTATTGTTTTTTATTTAAGTTTACTTTAATTTCTTATGTAGTTGTTAAATTTAAAACTTTTCAGCAAGGCATATAATAAAACTTGCGCAAACGACCATGATCAAGTTGTCTAAATTAAAAAACATTTTTGTGGACATAAGAGATGAAAAACCGTACGACTTTCCTGGGAAGGCTTGGAGCAGGGCAACTAGCAACAATGAAATTAAAAGAAATGATTAACAAGAAATCAAATATGTTTCAATATGGTTTTATTCCCCTGAAACTAGTATGCAATAGAAATAGTAAAAACATGAAACTGTGGCATAATTATACACCAAATGCATCAAGATTGTTACACCCTGTATTTTTACTGAAACTAATCAAGATTTGCTAGATCTTGTTGTACTTACTAGCACAAGAAGAATTAAATGCGGAAGAAATGTGTTTTCACTTTGGCAAAAAATATCTACATGTCAAAATTTATATTCAAGATACAATGAAGGATTTCAAATTTAAACAGGTGTTCAAATTTAAAATCATCAGCAGATTGTATACTTTGCAAAACAAAAACTCCTGTATGGACAGATATTGAGAGATTTAGTGAAGGATTCTTAATTGATCAAAAGAAAAGAAACATAGATGCAGTACAAAAAACTAGTTAATGAGGATAGTATCATTCCTACTAAAACTGTAGATTTTGCGAAATGAAAAAGATTGACTAAATAACCACAAACCAAACCTGATCAAAAAACTTAAGTAATACACAGGGTTATTACTACAATGAAAAAAAAAATTGCAACACATATCTAATCACAATAAAATGCAAGACATACCTTACCTATATAAATTGTCACACAATATGTGTGGCAATTTATCTAAGGAAGGTCTAGAAGCAAACAATAAAGATATAAGAAACTATTTAAAGCTTCTTTCTCATAAGAAATTGCATTTAGAACAGTTAACAGATGTGAGAGTCGTCTTTTAGAGAGATCTGATCCTGGTGTTTTAAAACCAAATTATCCATTTGCATCTAAAGTTATGCCGAGATTGTTTTCCTAAAAAGTATACAAGCAGATCTCATGAGTGTATGTTTTCAAAACCAAAGAGCTACTTTGATAATGTTTGAAAATCTTATTTATGATTATACATTATATATTTATATATGCAATATCAAACGATTTGAACTCTTTTCTTATAATTTTATTATACAAACATTATTTTATATCAAATTTGATTAAATAATTGTTTTTGAGTACTTAACTTCTTAGAGGTTGTTCACAAACTATGTAACATAATTTTTGATCATTATAGACCCCCTTCCCCAACCCTAGTCACAAAACCACTAACACACACACACCCCATCCCTAAAGCATGATGTAATTTATGGAGGACCCCTTATCAATAAACAGTAGGAACCAGACCCCCAAAATAATATAATAACAAAAATAATATATATTTTTGAATTTTCTTTTCTTTAAGTATATCTAATAAATGACTCTTTTAACTGTCATCTAAAAAAAATTTAAATTTGAATATTTATTGAAAACATAGTTATTTATTGAAAACGAAGTTATTTATCGAAAAGAAAGTTTAATATTAAAAATATTAATTCTTTTAAACCAACAAAAAATTATCTTTTCTAAAAAGTCCTCAATGAATTTTCTAGGATTTCATAATCATTAGTTATGATTCAAAACATCGCCTTCTGGGTCGATACTCTAGGCCAAGACTAAATCCCAAAATGCCTAAAATGGTATCAATTAATTAATAATATTAATATAACAACTTTTTGATTAACAATTAATATTTAATCATAATTCCTTAACTCTGCTGTTACAAAAATCTTTGATTTTAATAGCAAATCTAAACAGGTTAAGAGTCAGAAGAGTTAGGTAAGACACAAGCCTAACTTATTTTGTTAAAGACTTGCAAGTTCAAGTTATAAATTAAATTCTAACACATCCATGACTGGGTCATATCAAGTCTCAGTCCTGACCTATAAGCTATAGGGTTGCATATCCATTTTACATTTAAAGTTAGCTTCACTTATCCAAAATTTCATTTACAAAGTTGGGTAATTCAAATTATTGTATGATCACTTGCTTTAAAGCAATATTTTATAAAAATGTCATTGACTGGATAATAAAGTTTGTTATAATCAGTATGTCTAATTATTTGTTTGTTATAATCAGTATTCTAATCAGTATTATAATCAGTTTGTTATAATCAGCATTATAATCAATATGTTATAATCAGTTTGTTATAATCAGTATACAATTAATTATTTGTTATAATCAGTATGTCTAATTATTATAAAAAATTTGATCATAATAAATGAGTAACATACTTCAAAAAATTATTCTTCTTAACAATATTCAAAATTATTTAAAGGGGAGCTAAAGTTCATAGAACCATTTTTCTTAAAAAAAAAAAAGACAACAACATAATTTGTAGAATAATATTAAAGTTTATAAGCAATAACACAATACTTATAGTGACAACTCATAGCAATACACTATAAAATAACAATAAACTCACTTTCTTTAACACGAGTTTCAATGCCTAAAAAAAAGTTTCCAGGATAATAATCATCAATCCATGATATGCTAGGAAACTGATCCTGAAACTCTACCCACTTCTCTTTCCATTTTTCATAAGTCTAAAAAATTAATTGGTACTTAATCATTGCTAAAAATAATAAATCTATTTTTATGATAAAAAACTTCACTGGCATAACTAATAGTTGTTTCATATAAAAGTAATTGTTGTATATTTAAAATTAAAACAAAAGAACTATATGTTTTTACTAGAAATTAATTAAACTATTTTTGTAAATATTTTAGAATTAGAACAAATATGCTTATGTATCTAATTAATTAATTAACAAAGATGATGGAATGTAATGAAGGTCCTACCACAGTAAATAGTAAATATTAGCAATTCTACTCATTTAACTTTTAATAAATAATAATTTTCAAAGTGCTTCAAATAAAATAGATAATTACGCCTTTTTATTAAAAGAGATAATGACAGTAAACTTAATGGTTAAAAAAATATATAATTAAAATATTTGCATCCATTAAATAAATTACATTTACTTAGATTTATTTCTGTAAATTATTGTTTAAAAACAAGTAAAGCTTAATAAAACTGAAAAAAAAAGCCTAATAAAATTAACAGTTATTGCAATAGTTTTTTTTTATTCTTTTTAAAGTCGTAGTTGGAGTAAATGAGTGCAAGAACGAAGAAAAGCTCTCCTAAAACATAGCAAGCCATCGAGCTGCTCCTCTACGCCATCGAGCTTCTCCTCTAAACAGCTTTTTAGGAGAGCTATCATTTCTATCTGTTTATTCATTAAATAAATTACTTATAAAATACAAAGTTTGATTTTATACTTGTTACAAGGACATGCTTTAGCGTTAATGCTACAAGAATGTATACATATCAAGCATTGTTTATTGCACTGTAAAAAGACTCCTTAGACAAGTGTTTTTTTCATGTTTTCACCTAATCTATCCATTTATTTATAAAAAATTTTACTTATTTGATAAAAAACTTGACAAAGAGCTATAAAAGTTTTTACTGCTTATAAAAAATATTTTGTAATTTCTTACCGCAATGTATGTAGAAAACAGGAAGTTTAAGAATCATTACAACAATTAAAGATTTCAAATTTAAAGTGTTTTTATCAGGGTTGATAGGTTTAAACCAACTGGTTTAAACCATGGTTTAAACCAATCAAAATAATATTAATTTAAACCAAACTTATTTTTTGATAAAACTAATTGGAGATGTTAAGTTACAAAGAAATCAAACAAATAATATAAGTTACAAAGAAATCAAACAAAAATAAGGGACCCTGTTGAAATTTTTAAAGAGCTTATAAACAAGTTAACATTTTTATCAACATATATATCAATTAGAAACTAGATATTTTTAGCTGTCAGTGATGTTCATTTCTTTGCAAACATGCTAGATCCTAGATATTTTGTATCTAATCTTTCTGAATATGAAAGTGAAGCTGAAATGACTTTTGCAGATAAAGAATTTTAGAACTTGTTATTAATAATATTTAAGTTGAAAGCCAAATCTGCTTGATTCGATGAAAGTTATTTGTATAGCGAATCTGTTTTAAAAAATCACAAAATGGTGGAAATCTCTAAAATCTTTAGACTGCATCATTATCATGAATAATCGAGAGGTTTGTTAAACGCACCAGTGCTGAAACTGAAAGAATTTTTTCAACTTTTGGGCTTGTTCATTCCAAGTTAAACAAGATGGGAGTAAAAAAAGCTGCATAGCTTGTTTTTATATACATAACATTAAATAATGATGTATTCGTTGATGAATTACGCCAGTAATATTAATAGAAAATATAATTTACTCAAATAAAATGACTAATGCTTTTTATTTATTGAAAAAGTTGACTAAACATGGCCTTTTTTTAAAAAAAAAAAATTTAAACCAAAAAACCATGGTTTTTGGTTTTTTTGCAACCCTGGTTTTTATAATTACAATTTTTTAGCAGAATATTTAATTGAGTATTAAATTTTTTATTTTGCTCAAACTGAGACGAATTTATATAATTCATTATAAACAATATATAAAATATAATTTATTACAAAATCTACAAATTATTATGCAATAATTTTAGTGCGTAATAATTTTATATTTTTAAAAAAAGCATTGCAGTTCATTATGCAATTAATGGTTTAATTTTAAAATGACTCTTTCTTCTTAGTTGCAAACTTGAATATATTGTCATTAAGGCTATAGTGATATTATAGTATATATCATTAAGGCTATAGTGATATTATACGGTATAAGGCTTGGCCAGGAAGGCCAAGTGTCATAATATGACCACGCAAATTTGTTTCAACTTGTTTCATGTTTTTTGTCAAGGTTCGTGTTTCAGAGTTAAAGAGTTGAGAGAGGGTTTATAACCATAACTAAGTAGCCTCCTCATCTGTAGTGGCTTCTCGGCCTTGAGGAGGTGAATTAATAAAAAAATAAAAAATAAAAATTACTATTTGATTTTAAAACTTGAACAGGGCTGTTAATATGGTTTAAAAATTTGTATACATTTTAAAAATGTGGTAAAAAAAATTTTTTAAATATCAAGAAACTTAAAAAAAAAAGAAGCAGATGATGTTTGTAAAAAAAAATTACAAAAAAATAAAATTAAAATAATTTAAACTAAAATAAAAAAAACTAAAATTAAATCTTAACTAAATTAAACAATAAACTTAACAATAAGATTATTTAAATTACGTTTAGAATAAATAACTTTAAATTGTTTTTATCTACTAATGTTTTTATAAGATAATATTATGCACACATCAAAAAATAAGGTTTTAGGTCAGAGTTCCCAAAATATTTTTATGGAAATTTATAAATGAGACTTAAGGATACTGTATCTAGAAGCTAAAAAATCAAAAGGTAGCCGTTTTTGAAAAAAATGATTTAAAATTTGGAAATTTTTTTATGAAAGGGGAGGGGTGTCAGAGTTGTAAAGTTAAGCTTTTCCTTATAAAAAAAGTCAATATATCTTAAAATTATGTTATAGCTTATTAAGTATTGCAGGCTATTTGATTTTGATCATCTTAAGATATTTATTTTTTCTATAGAAATTGTCAATGGAACCATATATAAAAATTTAAAGAAGCTTTTTGCTATAATGCATTGTTAAAAATGTTTCCAGTAGTAATATATTTATTTAGTGCTTTTTTTTATTTAATATAATAATAAAATGTTGCAGAACTTAATATTTATTTGAATATTTTAAGATCAATTTATAAGAAAAAAAAATTGAGCATGGAATCCAGACACATCTAAATACTGGTAATTTTTTTATTAGAATTGTTTAAATCATTAACAATATTATACTATTCAGGTCAGTTGCCACTACCTATAACTATTGGTGTTGCTCAATTAGTTAGTAGGAAAGTTGGAAGAAACTGAAACTATAATCATTCGACTTGGACTAAGTCAAATCACAGATCCTTCTGAAATCCTTGAAGAAAAGTGGAATTCAACTTGACGCAAATTTTGATAAAAAACTTTACCAAAAAAGTATAATCCTATCTGAACTTTATGATGAAAAGACAGTTATTGTAGAAGAAAAAAAAAGTGTCAACAACGTGTTAAAAGATCTTTTTTTTTTTTTTTTTTTTTAATTAATCACCTCCCTAAAGCCCGAGGGGGCCACTACAATTTTTTATTTTTTTTATTTTTTTGTTGTAAATCGTGGTACAACTCTCTCTCAACTCTTTAACTCCGAAACACGAACCTTGACAAGCAAGGCAGCGTCAAACTCCGAACCTCTCGCTTACAAAGCAAGCGCTTTTACCACTACACCACTACCGCATGTAGACCTTGTTTATGTTTCTCAATTAATCAAGCTGCTAAACTTTTTAATGACTTATTAAAAGAAAAACCCTTACCAAACATTAATACAAATTGAAATTGATTCAGGTAGAAAGGTTATTAGATGAAGAGATCATGATCCTCATTGCATATACTTTTTCAATAAAAACTAACATTTTTTAGGTGGCGGATCACTTAAGGTAATTTCAAACTGTTTGATCCAGAAAAAGAATGGTGCAAAGATCAAAGTTCTCACGGAACATACTCTGGAATTATTCATTCTTTGGTTCTTACATATTGTGACAACATGCAGGAGGCATACAGAAATTTAGCAATTTTATTAGATCTTCTAAAGCTGGAAGATTGTAAATATGTTCTTGTAGCTGATTTGAAACTAATTAATTTTCTTCTAGGAATTTCAGTAAGTTATAATTTAAAAATAACTTATTATGTAACTTTAAACTGGAGTTTTAAAGAAAACATAAACAAATTTAGTATCATGGCAGTAAGTATGCTTGTGCTTGGTGTGAAGGAGAATGTGAGCTTTTCAGTGGGGTAACGAGAACATTTTTATTATTGGATATATGGCATCACAGATACATGGAAGCCAGTTATCAAGTTCTGAAATAAAAGAATATAAGGTGTAAATGTTAATTATTACTTAATTTAAAATTTAAAAAAATCCTTTTGATGATAACAAAGTAATTTTTTTATACTGTTAATCAAATTAATATATCTTGACAGAATGTAGTGAACGCATGCCCAATAAAGGATTAATTATTGGACACTACAATAAGGCTTTTAAATCCACTCATCAGGCATCTGAATCTGCTCATTTAAAAATGAAGCCAATAATCTAACAGTTTGATGTTTCACAAACAAGTTCAAAGCACTCTCTTAAAAGCAAAAGAAAAGCAAAAGAATCCTTCAGCAGTACTAATTCATATATTGAAAAAATGAGATATTGTATGTTTATAATTATAAATTTAAAACTTTGGATGATTGAAAATACTTTTCTTAAATTATTAGCTAACAATATAAACAAATTTTTGTGATGTTGAATAGTAAATCAAGTATATAAGCTAGGATAATAGGTATTAAAACATATTTTCAAAGAAATTTAACCTTTTTACTCCTTCTTACTCCTTTTTACTTCGACAAAAATTCCACAGCACTTAAATTTTTTTTTTTTAAATGAAATTTTTTCAAAATTAGTTTTTTCAAAAAAGGGCTACCTTTTGATTTTTAAGCTTCCAGATACAGTATCTTAAAGAGACACTAATAAAATTTCCA